TACCCCCTGCTTTGTTAATAAAGTGGTCTTTCAAATGTTTTCAAAACACCATGACCACAATTACTTTTCAAACATGGATTTTAGTAAGAGCAACAAAGGCGGTTTGAAAATACCATTTGAAGGACCATGTACAGTAAGATGCAAGTCGTAAGAACGAAATTTGGTGTAAATGCACAAAGAGGTCCAGTAGGTCATGAATTTAATTGAATTGGTTATTGTGACTTTTTTCCATGACTTTTTTCCTGTGACTTTCTTTCCGATCACCTCGGAAATCAACAAATTCTGTTGTAATATCATATTGAAGTACACTGAAGGGATGCTCTCTTTCAACGAATTACATCATCTCTTAAAAACAGAAATACAGTTCGATGCAATTTGTAATAGGCATTATACCTTCATGAACCCAAAGAACCTTAACCGAAAGAAAGGCATATCTTTTCCAAAAAGGAACGGAGAACACATAAGATACTTGTCACAAAAAGTATTCGTACTCTGTGATTTGAGCTGGAGATTTTCAGAGTGAATTCCCATCTGACAATGTTTTTTCCAACCAATTGGATTGAAGCAGGCGTTCTCATTGAGTTCAATTTGTCCATCAACGGTTTATGTTTTGTCATTTAAACTATGTTTGACTAGAATTCAATACTTTAAGAAACTAAGAACCTATTTAACCTGTACTTAACCTTTCCCCAGTAAAAGCCCATCTGTTTAAGTAAGGTGAAGATTATGTGTTAGCTCTTTCAATTAAGGAAATGCATGTGAGTCAGCCTTATATTGCATTTAAATTGTACGTGTCGAAAGAAGGCAAAGGAATTCAATCTAATACTGTTATGAATGTTATCATTCGCGTGACTAACGATTTGACAACATACATGGAATGGTCAGGCATTGGACGTGGACACGTGGTTTCAAAATAAAATCGACCATGAAGAGCTCCAAAACTCATATGACTCTCTGATAAACAGCATTTAGGCCTTAGTAATTGATGTGCTTCAAAAGGTCTTTTAAAGGCTACGTGGAGGTCATTTCCAAATGACGAGTGAGTGAGTTTAGTATATAAAATGACGAAATGACAAAAGTATGTCTGATGCAATCCCCTATTTTGATTAGTAATTTATGTTACCGTGAATTCCTCTTTTTCAGATGAACAACTGACGTGCATGTGTTTTGCATGTTCTAACGGTGAATCAGGATACGTGCATCGGGTATTATCATTATTTGATATTGATTCATAAACACATGCTCATGAAATAGTCTATATTGTAAAACAGACTCTGCTCTAAGTAAGTGAATTAAGTTCATACACCACTTCTTCTGTCTGCTAACAAACATTCTTTTATGTATTTCACAACAGTTAATGCAACCCCATTTACACAGACAATATATCATTGAACAGATGACTCTGATAAGAACGACTGAAAAAAGGCTCTAGAATGTGGAGTGAAAGTCTCCTTTTAACTTATTAGATAAGATAGTATGATGGATGACAACACAAGAGGACTTGTATCAGAAAACAGGAGAGCGGTGTATTAGTGCTATCACCAAAGACTACCAATGAGAAAACACACGACATATTTTGGTACATAACATATGCCTATGTTGCACGAACTATCGGACTGAAGGAAAATCGATTGATTGGGAGTCTACCGTTATGGTGCTTTTCCTGAATTATTTGCTTATTGTACTTTGATGAACTGCTGCTCAAAGAAGATCTATTAAACTTGGCAATGTGTTTGTGAGCTGATATCATAGTTTTTCAGGTTTTCTTAATGGTACCGCTTCTGCTAACATTGTGTAATATGGGTATTGTGTAAGATATTGATGAGAAACTTGATATACAGTCAAATCCCGTTGAGTCGAATGCCGGTGTCTCGAATATTATGCATAACTCGAAGTACCTGTCGGTCCCGACCATTCCCTGTTATAGTTGTCATCATTTGATTTCCGGTTACACGAATTAGTCTCATAAATACACACGATGACTCGAGAAGGAAATTTGGTCCCATGAGATTCAAACAACAGCAATCTTGTATACATAAGCCGAAGTCAGTCAATGAGAAGTTGATTGGTGTAGTTTGCAAACCAGCGCGGTTCACACCTTTCCGCCATTGACGGGTGAGTTCAAAAGGCAGATTAGTGATTTTACAGAAATTCCTGTCTGTGCTAATCAGACTGGAACTGATAAGGTGTCCCTATTAGTGATAGGGAAATCATTAGGTAAACAAATGCTTAGGTGGAGGAATTAGGACTGGATCATCTTTTTTTCTACCCTCATAGACATACCTATGTCTCGAATACATCGATAAGTCGAATTTATTACTTGGTCCCCAGCGAAATTAATGTGGGCTATATTTCCATTTCACTAGTGTTAATGAAATGCATTAGCCAATTCAAGGCGGCCAAATGAAGGTACGATTCCATGACCATAGGTACACGGTGTGGTCCTTATTCGACGTTGAATAGTAGTATGTGTCGTGGATGATGCAGTCGTCTAAGACGATGCAGTTTGTGCAGACATGCATTACAGGTAAGGATATGATGCATACAAACCAAGCAACATAACGAAAACGAATCTGGGATTTGGCCCATTGATCATAGGTTCCTTGTATGCCTAAGGGAAAGAACTCTGTATGGCGAATTGAAAAGTTTTACACAGATGAACCAGCCTTACCTTTGAGACGATTTAAACCTTATGGTGAATGGTTAGTAACATGATCAGAGGTAACAGAAAACCAGCTGCTGGTGAGCCAGTTAGTATGGCCTGACGCAGATATCTTGATTCTGTGGGTAAAAAGAGCCACGATCAATATGGCACTATACGGTACACAGGGTCCTTTCACTACGTTGCATTCATTTTGTGAAAACGTTACTTTATCGAGTAAAGATATAACATCGATTACTTAGAGAATGTCACTACATGATGAGGTGATCATTACCATCGCGTGTTTGCCTGTCACAATATAGATTAACAATGTGAGGTAGGTATGAAAATGGCTTCAACAATACAGTATTTTGTAAATATATATTGCTAACCATAGGAAACAAGTTCACCAATAATCTCTATAGCTGCCGCCTTCCCTTAACAGAACATCAAAACCATTTTCCAAATCATAAGAAAGTGTCCGTTGTATGATTGCGACTCTATCTTAAGTATGTGTTTTGGTTTTATCATGAAAGGTATGCTTAAATGCTTCGGTTTTGAAGGTATTTCATTATTAAATGGAGTTGAGTTGTTGTTGTCGTTGTTGATGATGATGATGATCATCATGATCATGACTATGTATCGCGTGTGCAGTAGGTGACGAGCGCCATCAAAAACCATTCAGACTACAACGAAGTAGCGCAAATTAGTTTGGATTATTCTCACTCAGTATGGTTCAAAAGCTTCGCCTGTCAAGAAGGATAGACGTTTTTCTTAAACGGCGACCAACGGGATCAGGTGGTCAGATCCGCTGATTTGGTTACTCTGGTGATCGGCATAAAGAGTATAAACATACTGAAAGTCTTTATCAAATATGCTGAGTCAGCTTCAAAAGATTGTTTTTTAAAACTGTCAGTCACGAAGGTTTTACTTCACAGATAAATAGCAGAATCTCTTTACTTGTACATGGAACATGTAATTCCAAATTAACATACGTTTATTAGTTGCAACATGGTCACTCACTCCCACATTGACAGGCACATAGTTTAATAAAAAACAAAATATATATTTGGGCTTTCAGATGTAATAATATCTAGTCACCAAACAAAAATGAACCATGTCGAAACACACGTACACCTTCTCTCTCTCTCTCTCTCTCTCTCTCTCTCTCTCTCTCTCTCTCTCTCTCTCTCTCTCTCTCTCTCTCTCTCTCTCTCTCTCTCTCTCTCTCTCTCTCCCCCTCCTCCCTCTCCCTCTCTCCTTCCTCCCTCTCTCTCTCTCTGTGTGTAGGTTAGTGGTTATATCAAAGTTTATAGCATAACCATAACCTTACTTCTCTCTCTCTCTCTCTCTCTCTCTCTCTCTCTCTCTCTCTCTCTCTCTCTCTCTCTCTCTCTCTCTCTCTCTCTCTCTCTCTCTCTCTCTCTCTCTCTCTCTCTCTCTCTCTCTCTCTCTCTCTCTCTCTCTCTCTCTGTGTCTTAGTGGTTATCTCTCAAACTTTATAGCATAACTAACCCCCTCTCTCTCTCTCTCTCTCTCTCTCTCCTCCCTCTCTCTCTCTCCTCCCTCCCTCTCTCTCTCTCTCTCTCTCTCTCTCTTAGTGGTTATATCAAAGTTTATAGACAGACAGACAGACAGACACCTTATCTCTCTCTCTCTCTCTCCCTCTCTCTCTCTCTCTCTCTCTCTCTCTCTCTCTCTGTCTCTCTCTGTGGTGTAGGTTTAGTGGTTATATCAAAGTTTATAGCATAACCATAAGGTTTATGAAGTGGTTGAGTGTCTCTCTCTCTCTCTCTCTCTCTCTCTCTCTCTCTCTCTCTCTCCAGTCTCTTCTCGTGGGTATTGGAGTCTCTCTCTCTCTCTCTCTCTGGCTCTCTCTGAGTTGTTGCATCTAAATCTTGTAATGGCTATTTTGGTAATATCAAATTATTTCATAACCATAACCCCCTCTCCCCAGCATCTCTCTCCTCCCTTGTACTCCTCCCTCTCCCTCCCTCCCCAGTCCTGACTCCTCCTATCTCTCTCTCTCTCTCTCTCTCTCTCTCTCTCTCTCTCTCTCTCTCTCTCTCTCTCTCTCTCTCTCTCTCTCTCTCTCTCTCTCTCTCTCTCTCTCTCTCTCTCTCTCTCTCTCTGTAGGTTAGTGGTTACATCAAAGTTTATAGCATAACCATAAGAAGGAACGGGTTCGCTTGGTCACATGGATGCCATGTGTGAAGCCGAGACATGGCTTGAATATTTCCTCAAATGATGTAAGGCCTCATCCCCTCAATGTCATGTATGCTTCTATCGTGTACCTAACAATATGTGTCTGGACACGGTCTGTGCATCATGTTTAAAAAAACAAATGCAGTGAAGCCGGTTTGATGGTTGAAGCATTTATTTATGCAATAAGACTGACTCCTGTACAAGTCTCTGCTCCTCTACAGACTCTACAAGACTGTAAACAACTTCAGCAGGGCTACAGGTCTGCTCAGGTTCAAGAATGTGTGTGACGTCGATTCTACCCAAAACATGTCCATTTTTCTTTTCCAAGATACCTATATTTGTCCAAAGAACTTTCAGAGGAACGTCGGTATTTTATCAGCACAAGATGGTCGCACCACAGGCTTCCAATAATTGGAAACAAATAGAAGGATCCTGGTGGAATTATAATGAAAGATAACATGGCTCTGTATTTCTTTCCTTGTGTACAGTGCTTGCTCTTCGTCGATTCTTTGACAGCTAGTGATAACAAAAGAAGGATACCCCATTGCTTCCAGGATTGGGTGACTGCCGGCTCACTGAGTAAATCCTATTGATCATAATTAAACATTTACACAAAGACGAATATTCTCATTCCGTTTTAAGAATGTCAGCAAATAACACTAGGTTTCCATAGCGCCGCCAGGCTGAGAGGGGAATTGAGAGGGTCATGTCACTTGACGATCAGTTGATCCGGGTGAAGTTGCGTTGAAATTATCCGAAGTAATATGTTGTCTTGGCTTGCTAATCTCGACTCTGGCATGGGCGCCGATCTCTTCCCCAGCATTGAATAGACGCAGCACTCACATCTTTGCGATCCTTCGGCGAACCCCATGCATGGTGGGCATGCGCAGCCGGAAACGGAACCGAGCTCCATCGTCAGTACCAGCATGGCTGAAAGACACATGTAAATATTGAATAGTTACAGACGTACGAACATTATGTAGATGGATTTTAATAAGGAACACAAAACGGGTAAAGACATAGGGAAATGTTTGTTGTTGGTTAACGCCGCACTCAGCAATATTCCGGCTATATGGCGGCGGTCTGTGAATAATCGAGTCTGGACCAGACAATCCAGTGATCAACAGCATGATCATCTATCTACGGCATTTGGATACAATGACATGTGTCAATGGTCTTGCATCGTGGAACCACTGTGTCGTTTCGTTGTTGTTTAACGCCGTACTCAACAATATTCCAGCTATATGACGGTCGAGGCTGGACCATACAATCCAGTGATTGACATTATGAGCATCGATCTGCGCCATTTGGATACGATGACACGTGTCAACCAAGTCAGCGAGTCTGACCACCCAATCCCGTTAGTCGCCTCTCACGACAACTAAGGGTTTCTGAAGACCAATTCTAACCTGGATCTTCTAACCTGGAAAAATATGACAATGCTATAGATGCATATTTAGTAAAACTGAAAGCTAAAGGGATTAAATACACGAGGAAATATTACGGATATACCGATATTTAGGCACGAGTGTCGTAAACATAGAATGATATGGACACGAATATAATATTCTGTTTATTACCAGTCGTCAAATTGAAAATAAACCCAAATCTGCTTTCAAACACAGGCTGGCTACCCGCCGTCGCCGCATGTAAATATGAACCCCGATATTTTCGCCCTCGTAGGTAATAAAAGTAAATAGCTTAAGACACGTGGAAATAGTATAGAAGCATGCTAATTACAAACGTTACATTGTTAATGACACGTGGAACACAATATAGATGCATGCTAATTATAATGGTTAAATACATAAAGAAACGTAAAATTACGATAGATGCAAATTTCACAACAAAAGTTAAATAATTAAAGACACATGGATATATCTACGATCCAGGTTTATGAACAAAAGTTAACTTGTAAATAAAACGTGGACGTATTACAGATGCATGTTTAAAGGATAAATGGCTATTGTATAGTAACGTTGGATTATTTCTAACAGAATCTTCATAACATCGCAGCGTGTCAACTTGACGTGGGAGGAAACCCGGAAGTGACGCAGGTCAGGGACCTTTATCACCTTGGTGAAACCCACTAGAATGGGTATGGTCTTGACAAACGAAGAACCATAATCTGGCCCAGCGAAACTCTGCAAAAACAGATCACTGTGAATATAATCAATATGCACTAATGTGTACATAAAAAAACATGAGTGTCCTTTCCAGTGCAACGTCAATACAATCCACTTAAAGCACCCCCATGAAGATCCGGGTTATAATTGGTCTTCAGCAACCCATGCTTGTCATAAGAGGTGACTGAAGGCATCGGATGTTCAAGCTCGCTGGTTTGATGGAAGCATGTCATCATATCCCAATAGCTTAGATCGATGCTCATAGTGTCAGTCGGTAGATTATCTGGCCCAGAGTGGACATTTTGCACACCGGCGTTACATAGCTGGATTACTGGTGTGTGCGGCGTTAAACTAAAACACAAAGTACTTAAAATATTTTAATTTAAAAATGATATAATCACAATGATAAGAAAGGAGAATTGCATGACAATGCACCAACATAATGATGAGGGGTGGGTCAGAAAAAAATCTAATGAAGTTTCTACTTAAATGATATACAGAATTCTGTATCCTACCAAGTATTATAATCAAACCTGAATCCATCCATCCATCCGTCCATCCATCCATCGATCCATCCACATGCATGCATACATACACACACACACACATACACATACATACATGCATGCATACATACATACATACACACACACACACACACACACACACATACACACACATACATACATACATACATACATACATACATACATACATACATACATACATACATACATACATACATACATACATACATACATACATACATACATACATACATACATACATCGTATTTTCAATCTCCCTGAGGAGCATACAACTCTTGCAGCCATTAGGCGAACCAAGTTAATGTGACTTTTCCATCCTTACGAAGTACCCATTCACAGTTGGGTGAACTGTAGAAAATAATTACGTCACAGATTACACACACACACACACACACACACACACACACACACGCGCGCATACATACATACATACACACATACATACATACATACATACATACACACACATACATACACACACACACATACATACATACATACATACACACACACACACACACACACACACATACATACATACATACATACACACATACATACATACATACATACATACACACACATACATACATACATACATACATACATACATACATACATACATACATACATACATACATACATACATACATACATACATACATACATACATACATACATACATACGTATACATACGTAGTACGTATAGTACGTCTAGTATCCTCAAAGCCAGGTGTCCTTTGAAAACAGAACAGTGTCTTCTTCAAATCGCCTCATTATCTGAGCTCAGTTCGTGCTGTCAGTTGTTCCAAGCAGGTTCAAGGAGAACCATTATAAGTAGGATTTCTTTTCACGGCACACTTAACAGTATATCAGATGATTTTACCGTCGCTTCAAACACTGTCAGATCCCTCTCCATCTCTAAACTGAATACTTTGATATATAGAGTGCCTTTTAGGTTATAAAGAGACTCAGCGCCAAGGGAGCAGTATCCAGAGGAACAGGATATTAGTAGGGTTTGTCCGGGGACTCACTAATAGCATTTAAAGTCCGAGGGTAGGTGGAATAACCTTGTAGCTCGCCACCACGAAAACCCGGGTTCGATTTGCCACGAGGGTACAAAGTGTGAAGCCCATGTCTAGTGTTCCCTGCAGTGATTTTGCTGGACTATTGCTAAAAGAAGCGTAAAACCATACTCACTCACTCACTTTATACTTCGAAATCTGTAGTGATCTACGTGTCAACTCTGTGTTAACGGATTACAGCACTGACATATTTTCCAGATATGTTAAATTCACAAACGCGGTGTCGTCCTTTCAAAACCATATACACAATAACCAACATGGCGACCATGGGACATATTTCGTGTATGTGTATTTGGGGAAACTAAACTAGATTTCGAAACGCGAGAAAACTACCATTAGTCAGGGTCAACTCAACAAAGCCCTTTCAAAGCGTCCATAGTAAACAGGTTATGGAAGATATATAAGCAATAATTGAGACCCATAAAACTGTTTCCAAGTTACGGGTATTCACGCATCCTGTGTAAGACAGTAGTACCTCGCCTCACCCTGCTTTTCTACTTCAATCATTGATCCAAAAGTTTTTACCGTCCAATCCAGTCTAGAATATGACAATAGGCATGATAATATTCACTTATTCTAAATACTAGATATTGTTTTCATCAACTTACTTCATATCGTTATTTTACTACAATGAGTGAGTGAGTGACTTTAGTTTTATGCCGCACTCAGCAATATTCCAGCTATATGGCGGCGGTTTGTAAATGATCGAGTCTGGACCTGACAATCCTGTGATCAACAGCATGATCATCCATCTGAGTAATTGGGAACCGATGACATGTGTCAACCAAGTCAGCGAGCCTGATCACCCGTTCCTGTTAGTCGCCTCTTACGACAAGCATAGGTTACTGAAGATCAATTCTAACCCGGATCTTCACGGGTGTATTTTACTACAAACTGGTCAGAATGTTAAAAAGGATTTGGCACGCTCCGAGGTGCGTGGGCAACTCTTCTTCTGTGTTATATGTAAACCATGGGAATTTGAGAACAGAAGAATGATACAAGCAAAAACAACGCTGTGTTAAAGGTTGACATACGGTATACATCACTAATCAAAACATCGATTGTCGAAAGCTTTACTTTTATTCCCAGAAGTTTGAGTAAAATCCCTCCTCAGTATCCAGCAATGGCGACGGTATGTAATGTTCAGTTACTACAAAACCTTTACATGTATTGCATGCAGAATTCCCGGTAAATAATCCTGCAATCAGACAACCTCTGAAACGGCAGCGTTCTTTCCGATTACCTCGAGATTTCTTGTGACGGTAAATTCACAATACTGTCCACTTATTTGATTATTTGCAAGACTAATCAAAATCTGCGAGCCTTATAAGGAAAGTGCAATAGCAACAGTTAATGACTTCGCCTTTTGCTTATTTGTATTTGAATTACCAAGAGAATGTATTTACATTTTTCACGTTTGAGAATCCTGTGACGTCGTTTTCCAACCCACATACTAGTCTGATTAGAACGTTGAAAGTGATGCAAATTTCAATGTAATAATATGCCGGAAACATCTGCTACAACAAAGCCATGATTTGAGAAAAGGAACTGCCGTTGATATAAAATGAGGTATATGATTCATATCGAGCATAATTCATAGGGATCACGATTGTCGTGAGGTATTGTTTAGTAAAATGATAGTCACGTGAATTAGTAAAACTAGATAGTGATATTGTTCTGTTCATCACTGTGTTGGCTCATATGATCCGTGGTATTTGCCGACTGAATCGATGTAAGTATTGGGTTTGACTGATGATGTTTAAAGGTCCGCGGCCATATCGTGCTTGGTGATACATTACATGCACATTCACGAAATGCCACGACTAGTATGTACAGACATTACAATGAATGGATAAAACTGGTTCTTCGTAAGCTATACATGTCGTAAAATGCGACATAACTCATTAAATGGCAGGAAACATTGTTCATAATATTGACCATAGGTTTATCTGGTCTGAGCTCAGTTATTTACAGATCGATGACTACTCATCGTAACGTATGAAATATTGCGACAGTCTACAATAATCCCTGTATTTCTCAAAATCAACTTGTCCCCTTAAATTTATTCAGTGATTCAGTCATCCACTATATAGCACTATAATGCATAGGTTATTTTGATATATGAAACTTCAAATATTTATCAAAACCAGTGTTTAATTGTTATTATGTC